AAGCCAGAGAAAGTTCTTTAGTCCCTGTGCCCAAGGCATCCACTTCATTTCCACCAAATAAATACATGCAAGACTAAGTGCTCCGGAGTAGGGTCAAAGAAGAAAGGTAGTAAAATATTGATCGTGTTCACAGCAGACAACTCATTCACTTGCCCAAGCAAAAGTAGTTAGCGTAATTTGAAAAACTGTACAGCTATCTAACCTGAATTTCAGCTTTAATCACGGAGTTGAGACCAAACCAGTTTCTTCAAAACCACCTCAGCAGTTCCGAGCCAAACCACATGCTCCTACCTCTCAATCTACCAGGAGAGGCTGTGGTTGCGCTCTCTACAGCCGGCAGCCTGCCACATGCACATGGAAATTCTGCCTCCAAATGCTACAAGCAATTAATATGGGAGCAGCCAGGATTCAATGAGGTTGCATTTGTGCAGGACAACAGCAAAGCTGTAGGAGACAGCCAATAAATTGAGTTACCATACACAGCAGATTGTGGGTGAGTAGAAAAGAAAAAACAGACAAACAAAAATAGCAGTTCAGTGAGTAACACAGAACCATGCTGAGCTCCTGCTGAGCTACCAGCAAAACTACACTGGTTTTCCTCCACACTCCTTGAGACGTGTCATCCACAATGCTTAGCCTTTTTTAACTCCATTTACAAAGCCAGCGGATTCCTAGCTCTTCAGGGGCTAAAACAATGCTGTTTGGGCTTTTTTGCTTCAACATCAAACGTGGATTTTAAACAGTTTTGGTGTGAGGACACCTCTGTCCCTCAGACAATCCCATTCTCAAAACTTCCTCTGACAATGAAAGAGCTCTAGATAGAGATCTTTCAAGAGAGAAGTCTGAGGCGTAGTATCGTACTTAGAATAATATACATTTAAGAAGTAAACAGCACTCTGTCATTGTGAGAAGCTAACCCACATTCAGCTTCTCTCTGAAGTAGTGGCCCTGTCCACAGAGATATACACGGTCCCTCTAAAATACTTACACTTTACTTTTTGTTTTGTCTAGAACTTCAATCCGAAACACTGCCTTCATGGTTCACATGCTATAATTCACATCCCTGACACAGGAATTGATAGAAAATTAACCACAGAATCATGCGTCATACGTGGATGGGGAAAGAAGGAATCAAAGGAAAAACAAATGTATTTCTGCAATTATCTCTGCAGATGCTGAGAACCCATAAGATCATTGCAGAGATTTACCCACAGTGAAATGTCCAAAACGAGCAAGAGCCTCTAGCAGATGCAAGAACACCCCAGTTTCCTGGGCAAAGCAAGCCAAAGAGGAGCAAACCTGCCTGCACAGCTGTGATGTAACAGTAAGTTGGTGGCACAGGTATTCAAAATGGAGCATTCCTGACACGAAGCAAGAAGCCAAAGAACAGGTGCTACAAAACCAGTCCCAGTACTTCCCTGAGACAGCCGGAAATCGCACAGTCAGCCAGACTGACCAGGTTACCTATGGCATCAGACTCGGTCCACTGCCCTCCGTGGATTTGTTTCAGCAGAGCATAGAGCAGCCTCCAGAAATCCAGGCTCTGCAGAGGAAAGAGAGGGGCGGGAGGAGATCAGCATGCAAAATATATGCCATATATTTACTCATAATTAGGCAATTAAACCCACATCCTAGCACCAGCTGCTATGTGGAAGAGCACACCTGCATCCTGCCAGCACCGTCGAAGCAGACAGGTTCATGTGTTTGCCGTCTTGCGAACACAGCCTACAGTAAGGTGCCCTCAGAAAGAGTAGGGCTGCTAATGCTGGTGGCACAGCGAGACCCAGCGCTTCTACTTTGAGGCACAGGAGCACGGGAGCGCAGCTTCCAAAATACCTGCTCTGACAGAGCCACATATGGCACCAGTCGCCCGTAGCCAAACAAGCACTCGCAGATGCTGAAAAGACGTAGGATATCACAGGATGGTGGTAAAAACTGGCAAGCAAGAGGCGGCACGCAGTGAGCTGGGACTGGAAACCACCCGTTGCTCCCACAAGGACAGCACGCTGCCCAGCCGAAACAGCGGTTCCTACAGCTGGA